GCATGGCCTGTCTTGAGTTTTGTGTAGCTTCCCTAGAAAACTGCCTTACCTTCTCTCTCAGCTAAGTGTTTTATTCATTCGTTCATTTGTTCATGTATACCAACACTTGATGAGAATCTGTTATGAGCAAAAGGAACTAGAAGCTAATACTATGGCATTGGGATTTTGAGAAAAGAAAAAGTTTACACTGAAAATGGATTCCCAAGGAGACAGGAGTCAAGCTCAAATCTGTCTCCCTGTGCTGCCTTCAAGACAGTATTTTTATTAGAAAAGGTACAGGGAGTGATTCTGAGATTAGCACGTGGTTGGTGGAAGGAAAGGACAGGGCTGGAAAGTCTTTAGGCTTATGCAGTTATCTCTTATGGTACCTCATGGGTTGCATGCGCAAATTTAGCAAACGCCAGTCAGCCATCTGAGTCCAACTGATTTTTGTCTCATAAGCGGAGGAAGTTTGAGTATTTCAGCAAGTTATTTATTTTCTTATCTGCCATCCCGTAAACTCAAGAATTTCTGTTTGCCATTGGTTTATTTAACTTTTTGGGGGCGGGAGGGCGTGATTTCAAATCCACGTGTTTAAGGACCAAGCTTTAGATTTTAGTTATGTATAGATTTTATTGAATATATACTCCTAAACCCATTTTGTAGATGAGAAATAGGAGATGAAATAATTTTTCCCTGGTTACACAACTAGAAGCCCAAACCCATCTTCTTTTAGTCTGAAGCCAGTAATCTTTACCCTTGCCATGATTTCTCTCTTCTTTCGTTCACTCAACCAATACTTATGGAGGAGCTGCTGTGCGCTGGACCATGCGCTAAGTACCGGGGCTATGGTGGTGGACAAGATAGATTTGATCTTTGCTGTGGTATTATCCACAGTTACAACTACCTTATGAAAACTCCTTCTGGATAACCCACCTCAAACACTCCAGGTCTCTAACCAGTCTAACTCTGGAATCTTCTCTTTCCTCTTCCATGCTGACCCCTCATTTAGACGGAGCCTTATAAACTTTTTTTTGCATGTTGTTGCATGAAATATTTTGGGGTGAGACATTTCAAGGTGAGCTATAGGGAGTTATGGAAACCAACACATCAGAGGATGGTTGGCCCTGAATTGCTTGGGAGCGTTCAACCCCACACACTTTGGTTTCCTTTGCTGATTCTGCCAAAAACAATTTAGGAGGACACTGGGAAAGGAGGCCAGGTGAGATATGCTGGATTCCAGCGATTCAAGTCAGCACTGGTGTGACTGTGAGTTACCACACAGAGCCAGGGTTGCCGGAGGGAAGAGGCCCTCTCTCTACTGAGATGTGGGTTTATAAGGAAATAGAAACATTCCCACTTTTGAATGGCTTTAGGGGGATGCAGACATGCCAACCTTCAGCACCTCTTACCTACCTAAACATTTTCGTCTCTTGCGATTATGGGAAGCCCTATCTTAAAGACAGACCACACACACACACACACACACACACACACACGGTGGCTTCACTACTTCATATCCAGAAGGAAAATAAATAATGTCAGATTGGGTATAAGTCAATGTGCAATCTGTAATTTCATTGCTTATTTATTTATTTAATTTATTTTTGTATTGGAGTTTTACTCCACTACCCGGATTGGAGTACAGTGGCATGATCATGGCTCACCACAGCCTGAGCTCAGGCAATCCACACTCCTCAACTACCTGGGTAGCTAGGGCTACAGTTGTGCACAACCATGCCCAGCTATTTTAAAAATTTTATTCTTGTAGAGGCAAGCTCTCACTATGTCGCCCAGGCTTGTCTCTAACTCCTGGGCTTAAGCAGTCCTCCCGCCTCAGCCTCCCAAAGCACTGGAATTACAGGTATGAGCCACGGTACCCGGCCTATGTATCTATTAATAATGTGTTCTTAAAATGTCCCCCAGGATGTGACTGTAATGGAAGGTTGAGCACAATGGATGTGTTAACTTCTAGAAGTTTCTCTTTGTAAGGACATGGGAGAGAGTGTGTATGTAGAAAGAGCGATGATGAACCCTGTCCACTTTCGGATTTGACTCATGTCCAAAGACCATAAATGTCAGTCTTCTCACTGGAAGGAAGAAAATCATGAGCTTCAAAGACAGAAAGTCCTTGGGATTCTCTTTATACACTCTTTCACTTACAAGCTTGTAATCCTTGCATGTTCCGCAGCTTTTCTGAGCCTCAGTTTCCTCACCTAGAAAATGGGGAGCAAACTCCCCCCAGACTGGGTTGTAGGTGATAATCATGCAAGAGTGAGGGCAAAGTCACTGGCACATAGTAGTAATCAATAACAGAATATCCTGGCCACTAATTATACTGTAAAAACAAACAAGCCAACAAAGCTAAAAAAACAAAACAATGCCTCCTGCCATTAAAGAGTTTTCACTGGGAAACTGTTGACCCTTCGCCACAATCCAGTCTCCTGCTGTGGACTTTGTGACTTTAAACGGTCACTTGCATTGAACTCCTACTATGTAACTAGTGGGGCAATAATAGGTACCTTAGAAATATTGATCAATGTCAGTCTTCCAGCAACCCTTAACGGCGGGCGGGAGGGCTTTATTATCCCATTGTCAAGATGAGCTGAATGCTGGTCAGGAGGTTAAATAATCGTCTTTGAGACTGACTGTCTATGTGCAGAGGCAAACCTCTAGCCCAGATCCCACTTGCTCTACCACGTTGGAGGCAAAACTCCCAGTTTGCCAGTGGCGAAAGGCCAGGAGTGAACAACCACATGGGCAGGAGATCTTAAGGAGGGTATGGTTCGACTTTTTAGTGTTCGGGCCAACCTACACCAGACCAAGTGACTATTTAGTGATTCCTGGAGGAGATTTCCTGTCTTTTCAGGGCTGTGTGGAATTAAGTTACATGTGTGGGGTAGGAGGGCACAGGGCTGAGAATGTGAGTATACCCTAAGGGAAAATGTCCTTCCTTTATTGCAACTAGTAGGAACTTGGGAGGGGGGCAGTCTGGAATGCTGGTACTGTTCGCTTTGGGGTTGGTAGTGGTGTTCACAGTCAGGCCCTGGCTCCGCCCTACAATGATACCACCATCTTTTACGTTAGAATGGCAGTGTCATGAAGACACGGATGTTTCTCTCTTTTGTTGCCATTTCCTGCCTCTGGAAGAGGTCCTGGCATATAATAAGAACATATTGGAAGGAATAAACAAATTAACTATGATTCTGGGGCACTTGATCTATTTCCTCTGTTTGGAGCATTCTTACCTGGGAGAGTCACCAGCCTTGATTCTTCTATTTATGTCTAAACTCAAAATTTACCTCTGCAGAAAGGTCCCTGAACAACACTCCCCAAAATAGTTACCTTTCATCACTTTTATCCTTTTGTTTTGTTTTACTTTTTCTCTCTTACTTTTGAATAATCTTGAGTTTCTTACCACTTTTTCCACTGATAAGTTCCATGAGGATAGAACATCCATCTCCTGTTCCTTTATGGCTATATCTTTAGCATCTAGAACAGAGCCTAGCAGGAGTCTGTGTTCTATAAATTATATGTTGAACAACTGAATAAATGTACCATCCATGGGAAAAGCTTAGCATGGTGCCTAGCACAAAGCAAGTGAGAGATAAACGACTGTTTTAATGATACTGATGATAACATCCAAATGTCATTCTGAGGCTGCAGCACAGTGAATTGGCTTCTGAAACCTCAGAGTACATCCCAGGAGATAGATAAATGTGAAGGGCTGTCCTCCCACCTCATCTGCCACTCCTCCCTGCCACCACCAGGCATGCTAAAGAACAGGGTTTTTCCAGCTTCTGTGGCTCACTTTCCCTGACTCTGGAACCATGAGAAGGCACTGGGGCCAGTTCATCCTCTCTCCCTAGTTCTTGAATTGTAACACTTTCAGACACTTCATGCTAATTTATAAATGACAAATTCAAGTCTCATGCCTGCATCTCATCCCATTCCAGCCGCCCGACCTCTCCTAGAACCTGGAACTTTCCCGTCCCTTTTTTTTCAGTGTTGCTGTCAGATGCCTAAAGTGCATCCACTTCGCCCCATTTCATTCCTAAAGACACTCTCCAAAATCCAGCTCCAGTGTCACCTCCTCTGTGAAGCTCTACCCCAGATCTTCCAGCAGTTTCTGCTTCCTCTCTCTGGTTTTCCATGCACCTTTCTCCTCTTCCATTATTATCATCACAGGACACTGTACTTAAACAGACTTCTCTCCCCCAACCCGGAAATGAGCCTTACAAGGGCAGGGGTCCTGAAGATGGTGGGCGGGAATGGGCAACTTTGACATGAGTTAGTAAAGGGAGTTTCGCAAGCCTGTAGACTCTACTGCCATAACTGCTGGGTCCCAATCCTGCCTCCCCTCTCACCATCTGTGAGTTCCCGAAAAGTGATTTGATCACACTATGCACCAGGCATCCCACTTGGAAACAGGGATCCTACTTATCTCACTTCAATAAATAGCAAACGCCATGGACCAATGGATAAAATGATATAAAAAAAGGATTTTGGAATAGGTTGCATTAGGGGAGGACTTGGGATGAGTGGCGAGCTTAAAGTCATTCCTTAGATATTTTATCTACGGATATATGGAGGCCTTTTTGTCATGAACCATGAGTTCACTTGAAACCAGAGGTAAAGAAAGCAAACAATGGTTGAAAGTGCTTTTGAAAACACCCAGAGCTTTATTATCTTTGTCAATCCGGCAGAAAGTGCATCACACTGGAATCATCACTCTGGTTCTTCCAACTTAAAGTCAGGTCTTCACTGCCCATACACACATAGGTGTGTGAGCCATAAAAACACATGCTGAGGTAAACAGCCTCTGAACATCACATTCAAGAAAGTGAATATAAAGCAAATTCCAAAACACAAAAACAAAAATTACAAAAACCTGCTTAAATACTTCACCGCATTGGCTTATTACACAAGTTCATATCTTTTGGGGAAGGTGGAGAACCTTACAGCACACAGAGGGGCTAATGACAGGTCATCTCCACGGAAACCAGTCTCTTCTGACCTCGCTAGCAGGAGGTGTCCTGTATCATGTTGAGAAAGAAGGTGCAGATGGAACTCCAGGACTCCCCACAGAACTCCAGGGCAGTCTCCTTCTGCCTTGCCACATCGGGGTCCTCCACACACTCAGGAGCTTTGGTGGTCACGGTCTGGGTCACCGCTGGACTAAAGGAAGGGATCTCTTTGACCTTGGTATGCTCCCTGGGGGAAAGCTCTGCTTTCTCCTTCCTGGGCTTCTTGTTTTCAAACAGAGTGGAGCTCACCAGCTTGAGATTGGATTCTGGAAAATCCTTTCTGCACACCCGAGTCTTCAGGGCAGATTTGGAATATCCACAGATGTCCTTCTGTGAGCGCAGATTCCGGGCAATCTGTTTCCAGTAAACCTTCTCTTCCTTGAGCTTTAGGCACTGGGCTGGATTGCCAGCAAAGACACAGGAAAAGTTGCGGTCCGTTCGTGTGCACTCGACCTTGAGAGAGATGCCCTCCTCCTGCTCAGTCACAGCCCACCTGCAGTTGGCTTGGTCTTTGGTGACAAACTTGCCTTTGGTCCTGTTTCTCTGCTTACTTGGGGCGCTTCCCAGAGTGTCCTTCTGCTCTGAGGCCACTTTGCTGTGATGTCCATTCTTTCCCCTTTTCTTGCCCTCCACCAGGAGCGCCTGAGCGGCCAGAAGGAGGAAGGAGAGGAGGGTGAGGTTGTGGATCCTCATGACTGCAGCTGGGCGGGCACCTGTTTGACAAAAGGCAGGTGAGTCAGGGGCGGGCAGCCGTTCAGCTGAGCAAGGCTGCGGGCTGGCCTCCCCCCACCCTGACACATGCCTGCCTGCTTTGGGAATAGACGAAGAATGCTCTGGCTCCTGGATGAGTCAACTCACATTTCCACTCGACTGGAGTGTTGCAAAACTACCCCTCTCCAGAGCCTCATGAATCTCACTTCTCATCCACTCATTCATTAATGCCTGCCTGTGCTCAGTCCTCGATCCTTCATTCATTCACTCAACAAGCATGTATTGGGTTGACTTCAACTAGATGTTGAAGATATCACTGTGACCGAGAAAGCCTCAGGTTTTAAAGAGTTTAGAGGCTATTCTTTGGGGGCAATTTAAATAGCATTGACCAGGGAGTCTGTCCCAACTCTGTCCTTAATTTGATCTTAGACGAGTCGCCACCCCCATTGTGTTTTGTTCCTTCACATAAAAAGGGTGTTGGGTGAAATCACCACCAAAGTGTCTTCCAGCTCCAATGTGCTGGATTTCTATCTCACAATTCCTCGTAGACACAGATGCTCACAAAATGAGAAAGGATGTGGTGAGTGGCCTGAAAGTGCCATGAAAAGTGAGGTTGACCCAGAGGTTGAGCATACTTGGGATTGACACACTGAGGTGGGTGGGGTTGGATGGGTGGGGGAGCATCTTGAGTGGAAGTAAGAGTCTACGTAAAGGCACGAAGGTGGGAAGGTCCTCTGATTTGACTGGGCAAAGTAAACCAGGGTGGAGAAGGGGTGAATTTCAACCAGCGCATTTACACTGCAAGTCTGAAGTCAACGATCACGTGTAATTAAGTTCCAGAGCCTCCCGATGGCACAGTACTAGACACACAGAAAGCCCTTAATCAATGCTCTTATAAAATAAACCATTGAATCAATAGAACGACTTTTAATGACACCCTGAACTGCATGGATTTTATCAGGCAGACAATAAAAAAATTCTTAGAGAGGACAAGAAATCTCTATTTGACACCTACTGTGTACTAAGCGCTTTCCTAGTATTTGATGCTTACATTGTTAAATCCACACGAGAGCCCTGACAGGAAGCTATTAATTTGTCACCACAGGTAACAGCTCGGACTGTTAAGGCTCAAACAGGCAAAGAAATTGCTCAAGATCCCATAGTGGGCAAGTCACAAAGCTGGTATGGGCAACCGGACCATACCTCTCTGTTCCTGTTCCTTTCTTTGCCCCTCCTTCCCTCACCACACTTTCTTTTCTACCATCCCTGCCTTGTCCAACACCTTTTGCTTTTCACGTTTACTCTGTCCTTCAGAAAATATTGGCAAGGAATAAGAAAAACCACGATGAACCATGCCGGTTTCATTTGACCCAGTTCGTAATGATAAGATGATTCACATTATTCATGCTCCATTTAAAACAAAACAGAGAATTTTTTTTTTTTGACAAGAGTCAGGCCCAAGAAATGGTCCTGATCTTATTTCCACCCTGGGTGTTGGCCAGTGCCTAGGGTTAAGGAAGGAAAGACAATCACAGGAAAGTGGGGAATGGCAAGAACAGGTGGACAGGAGGCTGGCAGGCTCTTACCTTGTTTTGAGCACACAGATTCTGTGCAATCCCAGATGGAAGTGTGAGTTGCAGGCTGCAGCTGTTTCAGCCTTGGTGAGAGGCAAGGTAGACTATTTAACAGGAGCCAGGCTGACTGGGTTTTTACAACACACATACCTGGGGCGCTTTACTCACAGCTCCTCCCAGCCACGCCCCTCCGAGGGAGCCAGTTCCAGCAGGGAAAGTGCGGGGGTGGAATTCAGTGAGAAGGCGGTGGGGGTGGGGGGGTGTGGGGGTGTGGGGGTTATATGTAAGCCACTAGACCTGCTTCTTCCAGGCCCTTCTCTTTCCACCCCGTGGCCAGGGTAGGGGGGCAGCTCAGCCCAGCCACAGCTCTCCCTGATGGGGTGAGGACCCTAGCAGTATGATTGTGGGGAGAGTAAGATAACCATAATGGCGTGATCAGAGCTGCCCACTGAGCCTGTTTTTCCTAAGAACTCTTTTTTTAACTTTTAAATTTTTTATTTTAAATTTGTGGGTACAATTCAGAGTTAGGTATACAAATATTCATTATGTAGGTACCCTTGTTGATGAGGTGTGCCCCCCTTCCCGGGGCAGATTCCCACTACTGCCAATTCCACCTCCCCACCCTCCAACCCCCCGCAGTTTCCCGCTACTGTCAGTCTTTTTCTTCTAGTATTACAATAAGGACTCTTCTTATATACCACTTCCACTCTAATACGGCATGCAATGACTCTTCTCATTTTACAAAAGCAGAAATTGATTCTGGAGCTAACCAATGACTCGTTTAAGTTCACAGAACTAGGAAAAGGGGGAACACATAATTAAATGTGGGATTCTCCATACTCATGGTCTGATCTCTTCCTACCTGCCAATCTCAATAAATATTTGGTGAGACCAGGCACAGTGGCTCACTCCTGTAATCCCAGCACTTTGAGAGGCTGAGGTCGGAAGATTGCTTGAGCCCAGGAGTTTGAGACCAGCCTGGGCAACATAGCAAAACCTCATCTCCACAAAAAGTAAAACTAAAAAATTAGCTGTGCATGGTGACACAAGCCTGTAGTCCCAGCTATTCGGGGGACTGAGGCAGGAGGTCAAGGATGCAGGAAGCTGTGATTGTGCCACTGCACTCCAGCCTGGGAGACAGAGTGAGATTCCAACTAAAAAAAAAAACGGGTGAATGGGTGACTGATGCTGCTGAAGTCATCTTAGTGTCTGAGTTCCTGTTTTTATGGAGCCATCAGAAGTTACTATTAGAGGAGTCCTTGGACTCTGAGAGGCTGATAAAGTGGGAATATTTGATATTAAGATTTCTGTTGAAAATGCTCACCTTCAGATCACATGCAAGGAGCCCACACTGGTCAGCCTGCGATCGGCAGAATCTGATACTAGAGTGACCTAGGTGGATTCCTGGTTACAGCACGTGTTTATTTATGTGAGGCTGCCCAAACCACTTGCATTTGCTCATCTAAAGCATGCTGACAATAACAGCACTTTGTTTCTGGCTGCATGCTAAGTTTTTACTGGATGGAGCTCTTCACATATGGTGGAGCAAAACAGTTTGGGTTCATAACAGGGTCTTGAGCTGTATTCTTAGAAAACAGACATTCATTGTTAACATTGCGAACATTTAGAAACGTGGACCTCGTTATTGTTTATTGTCTCACTTTTCATGCATTTTCAGAACAAGCAATTGTTCACGTTTTCCTCGACTCAGCTATAAGAAAAACAGTAGTTCAAGTGTGATCATAAATGGCAACTGACCTTTGGCTTTGGGACAGAACAATAAGGAGTGGTGTAGGCTGAGGCAAACCAGAGTTTCTGCCTCTGTAAATGTCAACACTCACCTCCAGTTGTCTGTGAAAATGCAGGGACTGGACTCAGTATTGTTACTCTTAGAGATGTCTCCAAATCTAGTTGTGTTTATATGAAATTGGTTAGTGCCTAATTAAAATTTTCTAAACATAGCTGTCAACAATATACACACCAAAAGTTGTAACTGACTTGGATATCATATATAATCTACCTGTTTAAGAATTCCATGGAATTCTCAATATTGTGGATGTTGACGGTTTTACGCACATGTTCAAAGAGTCTCTACATAAACTCCACCAGAAGTGGCCATTTCTGAAACTGCAAGCCTCTTGTAAAATTGGCTTACCTGGGAGGTCCATCCTCACAGTCCTTACAACCACTGCATACCCCCATTGAAGGCCTGACCTCCACAAAAAAGGCACTCTCATGAGAATTTAAGAGGATTATTTGGACATAGGTGAGGCAGAGCTGCTTTGTTGAATAAGGGAGACATAAATCAGACAGTCTCCCACAACATGAGAAATTCTACTTGATCTTCAGAAGGCAGGCAGTTTCTTTCTGGAGGAAGATAGATTGTAGTTAGAGCACAAAGCCTATTTATAAGGAAACACGCAGACTCTGGAAACTTTTTGAGATGTACTTCCCTGAGCTTTGGCAGGTAGCAAGACACACTCCCCCCAGGGCTTTCCTCTGGTCTTTCCCTTGCCCTGACTTCCCTCCCAACATCTGCCTTTTCCCTTCTAGACAGGGGGCACAATGTTAGACCAGGCTGTGGAGCACTGGCCTGCTTGGCTCATCCTGTCATCCCACCCTCATTTCCAGGTTTTCACAGATGCCCACACACAGAGATGCATGTACACATAGACTCACAAAGGTACACACAGACATACACAGAGAGATAGACACAGACGCAGAGTAACACACATATACACACACACACACACACACCCAGAGTAACCTGGGCACAATGAAACTCTTTCACCACTCAGGTGCCCTTGATCACTTGCCTCTGTTGTTGCCTCCACTTGAGACCCCCCAGTCCCTCTCTGGTGGCAAACACCACCTCATCCTTCAAGACCTGGCTCAAACGCCATCCCTTCTCTGTTGATGTCACTGGCCCCTAATCCTCCCCACGCTACCCTAAGCCTTCATGGGTGTTCATGGAGAGAAATGCACGTTTCCTCCAACGGGCTTACAGTATGCTGGGCACTCACTGTCCTTACAGTCTAAGGCTGTTCCACCACCCAGATTTTTTACAGCACGATAAACTTAGAAAAGGATGTGGTTTTTCTGTGCCCTGGGGGAACTGCAGAGAGTTTGGAAACCGCAGACCCAATGGCCACCCTACACTCCCAGGACTGAGGGAATCCGTATAACTCCTAGAGAACATTATGTAAAGACCCATTTGCTTTTATTTCACGAGGACTCTAGGAGGAAAGTCTGCCCAGAGCCTCATGGGACAGATGTGGAGCTGTGTCTCAGGGGGACCATGCACAGTGACTGATACACAATTAGAGAAGACTATACGGAGGACACTTCTACTATTTTAATAAAAAATGAGGTAGTATAGCCATCCGTTAATAAATTGTCAAACTCCTC